AAACTCTTGGGATGAGGATTAAGTCAGGCAGCGGTCGTGGTTCAGCACCATGGCCAGTAAAACTGATTTTCTCCAATCACAGCTAGCTTTCTGATATGTACCAGGGTTTAAACACTGCCTGTACCCCCACTGAGGAGATTAGACAAGAAAAAAAAAGCTGAAACAAAAAATGATATCAATAACTGAAGACGGTTACTATTAATTAGTATTACTAGCAAATGCGTAGCCATTCGTTCATTTAGGCTAAATAACATGCTGACATGCATTCCGGCCTAATCAGACCAACATTTACCTGGAGAAGAATGATTCCATCAAGTGAAGGATCTCACTAGAATTAACAAATGGTGGAGATGGAGAAGAAGATGATCATAGACCTCTGTGAGAAGAGGCAGAGCAGGAAATATCATAGACCTGGAGAGAAGAAAAGGGGAGCTGAAGTGAGAGTAAAACATGGACAAGGAGAGGGGCAGGGAAGGTAGAATGGAAAGTGAACATAGACCAGGGGCCATAAAGGAGGCAGAGTGTAAAGTGATCTAGTAAGGGGGAGTAGAGGAGACAGGAGTGACATCTTACCATGAAACATTGGCAGAGTAGGAGCTGACTGCCCCAATGTGGAGAGCAAACCAGGGCCCCATAACCCTCGTTATTAAAACATATCTCCAGGCAAACCTAAGACTTAGTTTAGGATGGAGATGGCAATAGTTAGAACCCGTGTCAAGTTTTTATTGCTCTCTGTGTCCCCACTGGGGAGATTCACCCTCTTTTTGAACTAGTAGCTATTGTCCCCAAGGAAGAAAGTGAGGGGAAATCCAACATTTTGCAATTGTCCCCATGAAATATTCTAAATGGCAAACATGCTCTGGGGACAACTGACTGAGAGGGGAATTTCTTTACCTTCGTGTTGCTTCTCTGGGATAGGAAATCTCAGCAGTGGCACACAGACAGCAAAAAAACAACCTGGCAGTGGTTTAAAATCCTTCTCTGATTTATCCAAAACATGTTTTGCTATACATCCACTTTACCACTTCCTACACACACAATTGTAATAAAACAAATGTCATCTTGTATATTATAAAAGCACCATGCTAATGCATCTAATGGCTTAATGACTGGAAAAGAAACTCTGGTCACCCAAGGCTACCAGGTTGGCTACCACTGTGGTTAGTAATTTCTTCGTTTGAGGTGAATAAGTGTTTTATAATTATGTTTTCTCAACAATTTGTTTAATCCTCTTCCTAAATGTACACTAGGCTTGATGCCATCAGTATTTTTTCCTTGCTTAAAATTCTAATATATAAAGCTTGCGTCTCCCAAAGGATCCCAGGAATACATGTTGATATCCTCATGGCAAGAGGGCTACAAGAATGATGTCTCCATGTTACACTGATTCCGGCTGATGGGTCTCTCATGAACATCTCAATAAAAAGAATAAACAGATTTGTGATTATGAGCTCCTCCTCTGCATCAGTGCAAACAATCGACCTTTAACCCTTACCGTATGCTGGTTGTTAATCAGTACCACAGTTTAGGTCTCCGCAGTGCACACCTGTCCAAATTACCTAAACCAACTGCTGGACATTTAGGGTCCCTTCACACCACATCCAGATCATCTCCAGACCAGACCAGATTGTTTCCGGACACAAATGGCTATTTCTGGCCTATGTTCACACCAGCGCAGTCCGTTCCAGACCAGAAAAATCCTGCTTGTCTAATTTTGTCTGTTCTAGAACGCATAGAAACACATTAAAAATGCATACAAACACGCTGCAACGCACCTACAAGACCATTTTAAGCACACAAAAAAATACAAACGCGGCAAAATCGTGGTAAAAATCCTTGCAGCATTTTTTTTGACCAGACTGGAACGCAGCCACTAATGTGCCACGCGTTCCCGTGCGGCCGATCGCACTGCGGCCGGAAGGCATGGATGCAGTGCCATTGAGTTCAATGCACTGCCACGCCCCCTCCCGCCCCAACACAAAGGGGTCTATTCACAAAGCTGCCGAGGGCAGCCGAGTGAATGACCGATCAGAAGTGAAGTGAGCCGAACACTGTTCGGCTATTCACTTCAGGCTGGTACGGCTGATTTCAGCCGTATATCGGCTGAAATCAGCCGTACATCGGCTTGCTTCGTGTGGATTCGGATCAGCCGAACATGCTCAGCATGTTCGGCTAACCCGAAGTGCAGAAGGAGTTCGACTCAGCCGATCCAACATCTGGATCGGCTGAGCCGAACCTCCGGCAGGCTTCTCACTGCTGTTCGGGCTATTCTGAAAGATCCCGAACAGCAGTGAGAGAATAGCCGAATGCCGCCGAGCGGCATTTGGCTCGGCTGTTCTGCTCGGTCCCTCAGAGGCACCGAGCAGAACAGAAAAAGAGTGAAAAAAGTAGAAAAAAGTTAATAGAAAACGATTGTGCAGAGCTAGCAGTGACAGCTAGCTCCGCCCAATAGTTTCCTATTGTCCGGCGGCTCTGCTGCTGTAAAAAAATAAAAAGAATCCCCCGGGCGCTCTGGGAACCCCCCGCTCCCGGCTCCCGGCCATCAAGAAGAGAAACCCGCTGTCTTGTTTTTCCTTTATTCTGACACGAGCATGTC